TTCTTTACCTATGGAGCTTATGGTTGATAATACGAGTGCCATTCAGATTGCAACAAATCCACTGCTCCATGATCGAACCAAGCATATTAAGATCCATGTTCATTATGTTCGGGACTTGGTACGAGATGGTACGGTTACACTACACTACATACATACAGAGGATCAAGTTGCAAATTTATTCACAAAGTCTTTTTCCACGAGCCGACATTGGTTTCTGTCTAGCAAATTGGTGCTGCTAGACGCGCATCAATTTGGCGAGGTTCTTGATTGTATATAAGTCTCGCATTTATAGTTGGCTCGTATGGAGTGTAGTATGGTTGTACGTAGAGCCCAATGTGGCATTTAAGGCCCATGCAACCCATGAGCATTAGGAGTGTGGAACGTAGAAACCTAATGGCTCTAGGGTCGGCCAAGCCTGTAGTATATGAGTAGCAGATAGCAGTCATTGTACGATGAACACAATTATCATCAGTAAAATTGCAGCCGAGGAGTCTTCAAGCTCCTCCGTGGATTAGTCCTGGTTCATCCAGCGATACCACGTAAATCCGTGTCTAGCATTTTCGATATTGATTTCTATTTCTCAACACACAGATGGCTGAGTGTAGAGCTCCAAATCAATCTACCAGCATCAGTGAGAGGAGTAGAGTTGGCAAACACCCTCTCTTCCCAACCGACCTCCTGCCTCCAAATGGAAACCCACTGCCGAGGGAACCTAAGACTTGAAAGCTGAAGATATATATCGTGATAAAACATACAAGCAACAAACAGATGGTCCATAGACTCAACAGCCTGATCACAAAACACACAATTCAAAGCACTAGTATGCCCCCAGGAGGCCATTCTAACATGCGTATGAATTCGCTCCTTCGCAAACAGTCAAAAGAGGAACTTGCTACGTGGGATTCCAAGTCCTTTCCACACAATGAAGCCCATGATTATTTAGGTAATCGAGGTCGTATGGAGTTCCAGACCGTCTTAACAGAATAGTACTTCAACATCAGTTCCCCTTGCTAGAGTACCCGATCCACCCTAACCGTGAAATACTGCTGCACTTTCCCTCTAAGCTTCAGCAGACGCAGCTAGCATCAAGAACCAAAATTCCTAGTGAAGTGCCAAAACCCGAATAATATCGTCGCTGAATGTTTAGAGACTTTCCGCGATGATTGTGTCGTCGTTTGGGGGCTTTTGCGATGATGCTTTGTCGTCAATTCATCACAAGTGTAATAATCACTAGTCATAACTGGTCATGCTACAAGGTTCTCTTTAACTTTAAATTAAATATGGTCAAACTTAGTCAAACATTTCCCCCAAACACTTCTTATCTCTAATTTTCAATGCAAATTCGAGTCAACAAAGAGATCTCTATTTGACCAGACGAACATTGATAATCTTGGAGTCAAACGGTCAACTCCGAACAATGTCTATATTTATGATAACTATGAGAAAAAAATTGACAATATTAATTATTATATAATTAAAAAATAATATTAATTATTATTGGTTTAACAGGTCCTATACTTTGGTATCCTCTTAGTTTTTTACAAAATTTTAGTCGAATCGTTGGAATTTTTAAACATTAGCCAACTGTTAAATACGTTAGACAATGTTGAACCACCAAAGTGATGCAGCCCACAGCTAGAAAAATAAAAAAGTGATACTTCCCACTGTCACCATCCAATTTGAATCTAAATTGCAAATCATCATCACCAAAAAAAACCTCGACCAAATGCACAAACCTCACTTCTTAACAAAAAATAATTCAAGATCCATAATTCTGATCTAGAGAATAGTATAAGGCAATGTCAAAATATCCAATTCGCCACGTAAGCCCCTCCTTCATTCACCGCACACTTCGGAAGGGCTTCCCCGTCATTCCCTTTCCTCGCTTTCATTCTCCCAGTCTGGGAATCTCACCATTTCTCTCTCGCCTTCTCACTCCCGTCCTACCAGCCTTGCCGCTATACTCAATTTGCTTCCGAAATCCCTCATCGTCTAGTCTTCCTGCACGGAAATATCACCGATTTCTCTAGCCGTCTCTCTCTCTCTCTACCGATTATCTTTGCCGCCGTACTCAATAAGCTCTCTAAATCCCCCATCGTTTCCCTTTATGGCCGAAACCCCCCACTTGTCTCTCCCTCCCAAGCCCACTGATTCCATTGACTATCACCGTCTCTCTCCCAACCTCTCCAAGAAGAAGTTCTCTCTCTCTCTCTCTCTGATCGGTTCACATCGACAAGACGCTCCCCTCCACACTGCTAGTGCGACTGCCCAAAACAATATCTCTGCCACAATAATCTATGTACAGTTCTCTATAAGTTCCCGTAGCCGGCCATGTCACTTATATTTTTCCTTTGCAGAATATGTATTTGCATTTTGCAATCTCCCTTCTCTTTATTTGCTTCTATGCAATTAATCAGTTCAAATCATGTGGTTCAGTCCTTGGAGATTCCATAGCGCATAATTCCCGTTATCAAACCAGTCTAATTGTGTCTTAGGGGATTAAGGCCCAATTTCTTTATTGGTCCCCTCGGGGCGTGCAACGACTGCAACAATGCGGCCAATCGTTGCGATGACCGTTCCTCTGTCCCAAAAACTCCTCTCTTCAATTCTAACTCTGCTACTACTCAATGTAATATCTCCTTTTGTTCTTAGTATAATGTTTATCTGAGGTTGAACGTCATATATGTAATGCAATTAAAACTTATTTCATGTTCGTGTTCCATTTGCGTTTTTGTTAGGGAAATTTGTGTCTCCCTTGAAGGTCCCACACTTACTGAAGTTTGCACAGAGAGGGTACGTTTTGAGGGTGGTTAGTGAAATTAAATATTGTATGTAATTGATATGAAGTTGCAGCTGTTCTTAGCTTGCCATCGCCATATTGCGACTTTATCTAGGAGAGGAGGAGAAGGAAGATCCTTTTGGTAGTACGACGGGTACATCGAGTGTGTTTTGTTTCAGTCCCAAGTATGTGACTCTCTGACTCCCCTTGATCCAATATCTCAAGGTGCATCCGTATAGATCCTGCAAACTAACTCATTATTTTAACCATAAGAAGCTTGCATTCCACTGTGACCAGTCCGCTCTTATTGAGTCCACACCTCCCTTCCAAATCCAACTTGCAAGAGGCAAATTCTTTGACAATTGAGTGGACTTTCCCACAAGAGCAAGTTCGTTGGTAGAGACTTGGGATAAGAAATCTGTTTACTTCAATACACGTTAACTCCATCACTCTGCATGAGTCTTCTAAGTTTGATTTAGGATAAAGCATAAAAAGGACTAAGTCTCTGAACTCTTCTAGCACTTCCAGTTTCATAAACGTATTCTTCAAGACATTCTGGTTGGCACTATTAGATCGTCTGAAAAGCATATTCCTAGGAGCACTTCTACTATATTTTAAAACATTGGTGTTTTGAAGTACAAATTGAAGTTGTACCATAACATTAAAAGCACAAATTAAAGTTGTACCATATGGAAATTTGGACTTAGGATAGGGTCAGTAACCATTGGTTACTGACCTATGAGTAACTAAATCTGGACCTTTAGATTTTAAATGGGTTCAGAAAATTCAGATCTAAGGGTTGTCAATTAAAGGCATTTTATTTTCCGTAGTTTTCTTAATCGGCTCTTATCTTCTTCGTTCTAACTCGGATTTCAATTTTATTTGCACAGATGGAACGAGATCGTTGTGTTCTACAAAATGAGATCAATTTTCAATATATTTCGAGAAACTTTTTTTTTACCAACTACATACCATATGGTAACTTCTTCGTTTTTAAGTCCTTTTTGAAAACGTTTGCTAAGAAGGAACGAGTTCATCATGATCTATTGGATCTAAAAATTTTTGGATGAAAAAAATACTAGATAAAAAATTAGCATACTTTACCACTATGGTATGTGGGTGGTAACTTGTGGTAACTTGTATTAAACAATGATGAAAGTCGTAAATGACAGTTAGTATACTCTTACTATCATGTATTCAACCTTCTTACCATATTGGTATGTTCATACCATCATGGTACGTTTTCTTACCATATGGTATTAAATAGGAGCATACCATATGGTAAAGAAAAAATTATTTAATCTTTTTTTGTACTAAAAATATATCTAAGTGGATATCATTTTAAAAATCACATTTAATCTGATTTATCTGTGCAAAAAAAAAAATTGACTTAAAATGAGAAGAATTTTCAGGAGAGAGAGAGGGATATTGATGTCATACTGATGTGGACAGGTTACTCATAGTTACTGATTATAGAGTTACTGACCTGATGTTTATGTTGTGGTACAATGTCAAATTGTACCATAACAATAAGATGCAACTTTAATTTGTACCGTAAGGGAGTTTTACAAAGAAAAGTACAGGTACAACCTAAAGTTGAACCATAACGTTGAAGGTACAACTTCAAGTTGGACCATAAAATCAAAAACTAAATCACCAATGCTTTGAAGCATTGTAAAATTACTTTATTCCTATAAGTGATATTCTACATCAAACGCCTGAACACATTTTGTCTGCGCAAACTTTCCATTCTGCTACCACTGCATCAATGTCGTCAACTCATTTCTATGTAGACAAACACTACTAAAATCGATGTTTTTATCAAGTAATTCTGCTCTTATATAGATGTTATATAAGTTTTTTTTTACGAAATTGAATCTCATAAGCTAAAAATTTGATCAAGTTGAACCATTAGCTACAGATTATGCTACTTAATCCACCATTTGTTTTTCAAATAGGATAAAACAAAATTCATGTTAAGGTTCTATCGTTGAACGGTGTCCAATGCTAGTAATCAATACGAGTTTGGGAAAATTTTAGCCCCTATTTTTCAGAAATTTGTTCTTTTCACGACGGCTCGTAGTTCAAAAAAATTGCTTCCGCCACCCACTCTCCACAGCCTCTGCTTCTCCAATACTCTCAGGAAGCCTCCTCCCTCCTGGCTTCGCAACCTATTCCCTTCCTCGCTGCTCGATTCCAACATGCAAGCCCTGTCAATGAACTAGGGTCCGTCTTCGTCTGCATCCTCAACCAGTAACAAAGCTTCAAATCTGTTGCTGCCGACTTTGCTATTATTCTGCCGTTGTTGTTGGACCTTGTTGTTCGTCTTCTTTACTGTTTCTTTTGCCCTGATCATGGCCGGTGCATTACTAGTACGATTATTGGTACTACTGGCGCTGTTAATATTATTGCTGTTATTTCTGCGGATAGTTTTATTCCTACTCTGAGTCTTGCCTCTGCTGGTATTGTTAGCACTAGTTTGAAGCAGCAACCGCCTCCAATTCTCGGCATTCGTCGCTTGATGTTTAGTATGCTCACAGATATTCCTGCATTGATTCACTAGCTAGGTTAGTAACAAAGGATAACTAAGAATACATAGAGCAAGGAAGTATATACAAGGAGAGTACTTAGTTACCAGGGCATAGGGAAGAACCAAAAGTAGTTCTGGTTGTGACCATTCCGTCTAGCAAAACATTCGACTTTCCGGTCGACAAGATTGAAGACCCCACAATCATTTCGGTGCCAATTGATTGGACCAAAGTCATCGCCGTAACTTGGATCATAATGGCCGTAATAGAAAGAATACGCAAAATAGATGCGGTCACCCCAGCTGGATGAAGGGGCGGGCAGGCAGATGGACTCATGGGAGTAACCCAAGAACAAAGCATGTCCCTCCAAACTCCTCGCTTCTTCCCAATCATAATCACTAGTTATGCAGTATTCCACAACTTCACCGCCGCCATCTCTTCCCTGTAATGCCAATCTGAACACGTGGAACGTGACGTGGTTATAATGATACTCATCTTGGGCGAAATTGCGCAAGATGACTAGGAGGTGACCATTAAGGTGGGCCAAATGGAGGAAGGTATTGATGTAGGCGTCGCCCTCGTCGTCGCAGTAGACTAGTGATGACATAGCGGAAGAGAAAGGGAGTTTTCTTACAGCGGCAGTAGGCCCGTCGAGGATGTAGACGGAATCGTCGCTGAGCACGTGAAGTTTGTTTCCGAAGAAGGCGGCATCGCAGATGTCGACATCTCGAGGGATGCTGCTGGTAAAGTTCCAAGCCAGAAGTCCTCTCGGGTCCACCTTGCACCAGGCCAGCCGAGGGTTAATACAGCGGCTGAATATGACGAAAACGAAGCAGTTTTTGCGGTGGTCGTCGGGAGAAGAAGAGATTACGGCTCTCACGATGAAGTCGGACGGCTGACAGTTGAAAGAGGTCTCATGGAAGTCGTGAAGGGTCGGTCGTAGAGTGGGCAGAGCGATGGAGGCGCGTGTGATTGGGTTGAGGAGGTGTAATCGGACCGGGCGGGGGTGGATTACGAGGACCCACCCGTCTTTTGAGGCCAGGCACGGATTGTTCATCCGATCTTCTTCAGGATTGTTGGTGGGGAGGTTGGGACCGAGAGGGATCGTGACGCGTGGCAGCGGCTGGCTGCTTGGAGGAGGTGGAGGAGAAGGGGAACGGGAAAATATTTGATCACCAGATATGTCATATGTCGTTAATCGGAGTAGTGACAAACGTGTGGAACATGGTGACAGGAGAGAACTCATGCTCGCCGGATTCTCCATCGGCAATGAGGAGGCCTGGGAGGCCGGGCAGAGAGCCGCCGTACCGGTAATTTCGGGGTCGGAGAGCAATGGATCTCCAGGATTTGCAAACTGCGGAGAAGGAGAATAGCTGTGAAGTCGTCTCAAAATGCTCCCTCGCTATCTTCACTACTATGTCCTCCGGCAGCTGCGAATAATCCGCTTCCATCGGAGGTACCGGACGGCGGCGCTGATGATAATCAAATTATAAGGGAATTTAGGCGTATGAAGCTCGAGATGACCTGTATACGCTAATTTTGTAGGGTTCCACTTTAGCTAGTTAATTCAAGCTAGGGCAAAGAGGCAAACTCTGAAGCGCAAGAAAAGGAAGAAAGAGAGGAAGCCGGAACGGATTAATTAGGTAGGAATATAATAATTACTTAATTATAGCATAGTTAGGTTCGTATACCATATACGGTATTAGTAGGTAAATAGTTGTAGGTTTTCATAAGGTTAAACGTTTTTTTTATATATATAGAATAAGGTTAAACGTTGTTGGTATCAGTCATAAAATAATAAAAAAATTTATAACTTAAACATTTAAAATTACCCATTCAATTCCTTAAAGTATGGCGCTTTCTGTGGTGCAGGCGCGGCATTAGTGCCGCCACCATTTCAGCCGATGTATTTAATGTATTAAATGAGGACCATTGATTAATAACCACAATTTAATCAGATTAGGTTGAACCTATTGTTTGGTTGAACCTACTTGTATTTAAATCCTTTATATAATTATTTATATGTCTATTACGTGCGTGCTCTCTTGACCGCCGGCAGGAATGTGGACGTTAACACCGTCGATAGAATTGGTTGTTTCACTAATAAAGTTCATCTTCTTCGCCTCAAACTGATCACACAATTCATATAATCTGCCATCGCAAAGTCCTGTCTCCAAAAATCCACCGAAAAGAATTCTAGAGAGGGGAGGAGCCTTGATGATGATGGTGATTTCGAGGGTGTCGGGATCTGGGTGGGGATGGCCGACCAGCGGCAACAACGATGACGGTGGTTGATTGGCACAACAGAGACGATGATGGGATGATCGGCGGCGACAACTGGGTGGATGACAGTGATGAAATCGACTGCAGGGGATTCGGGATCTGGGTGGTGATGGCCGATCGACGCTAACGGCGATGTTGATGGTGGATTGGCTCGACAAAGACGATGTTGGTGAAGATTGTGCACCAGCAACAGGGCTGATGACGGTGGTGATATGGACTGATGGCGTTGGAGATCTGAGTGATCATGGCTAGGGATGGCAAATTACCCATCCATGGGTAATTATACCCTAACCCAAGTAGACCCATTGATAATGGGTTGGGTATGGGTGAAATGCATATGGATTTGGGGGTTTATAGATGGGTTTGGGTAAGGTATGAATATTGCTTCCATAATCTAAATGGGTATGGATTGGATATGGATATCCATTTACTTGAGGGTGTTTTTACTACACATGCAAAAATTGGACCTATTTGTAAAACTTGAAAAGTTTAAGTACCAAAATGTAAGACCAAAAAAATTTAGGTACCAAAACGTAATTTTCCATCGATATTTTGAGAACTTATATGCAAAAAGAATTAAATTTAGGTACTAAATATGCATATCTATTAAGTTTGAGTACCAAACTGTAATTTGTATTTGGGCATGAGTACAAACCCAAATCCATTTGATATAAACCCAACTCAACCCAAAGTAAATGGGTATGGGTACAAACCCATCAAACTTTACCCATATCCATCTATTTGGATTTCATACCCAACCCAATTGGGTTGGATAGTAAGAAACTCATGGGTATGGACAAAGTTGCCATCACTAATCATGGCCGGTCAGGGACTGTTGGGGGTGGATTGCTGCGACAGAGATGATGCTGGCGATGAACAGGGGAGACAACGGGAAAGTCGGGGTTCGAGATTCCAAGCGGTGGTGATTCGACTGACTGGAAGCTCGAGAGTCGAGATATTGGTGGTCATAGTCGGTTGGCGCAAAGACGCTTAACTTCGATGATATGGCGGTGGATTTCCGGTGAGAATCGGCGGAGTCGGCTTGCTTCCCACGGAACCAAGAAAAAATTGACGGAGCAAAGGAGGCCACGCAAGACGCAACGCAACCCTTAGCCTGCCGTTCTTTGCTTTGAATTTTTTAATTAATTTACTAGCTAAACCCGATCAACCCAACATTCTTGTTTCAACCATTCCCAATCAGAATTATATTATTTGAACCGGCTAGAACAATGAGACGGCACCGGTGCAGTTACTGCACCACAGAATTCCCCTTAAAGTATGTGCCTTAAACGTGTTATAAGTATTTAGTATCTGAATTGTATCAAACAAATAAGAAGATATGTGATATCAAATACATTTAAGGCTCGTTTGGAAGTTGCCGTTATTTACCTGAGTACTTGTACTGTTTAAAATTCATTAATTTTTTTTCACACATAATATATAGATTGTATTCGTGAGATTATTCTCTCTCTTAGAGCTCTTTTTCTCGTGCTTTCTGACCATGGGTGTCATCATCGACGAGGGCTCCCAAGGCTCTTTCCTCGATAACTAACTCTTGATAAACCTCAAGGAAGGGTTTGAATCAGGATTGCACAGCCTAAGGCCTTTGAAACAACGGATTAAGCTTCCTCTGCTAAGATTACAAAAACAAAACTTGCAAACGTGCTTGGGTAAGCTTGTTTGAGACGATTGATGGATGGGAACGAGAGGGAATCCTCACACCTGGGAGGATGCACAAATGCTATAAGTAGATGTGGCAATTCTCAATCCAATCCACTAATCCAATTCACCAACCCATTAAAAATATCTACCTAATCCAATCCATTTGATCCAAATCCAATTGCATTGGTGGATTAATGGATTGATCCATAGATCCAAATGGCAAATTACGGTTTGGTACATATACTTTTTATATTTTTACATTTTGGTACCTAAATTTTTTCATTATGACATTTTAGTACCTTAACTTTTTACATTTTACATATTGTTCCTTGGTTGAGGATGTCATTTGGATTCATGGATAATCCACCAATCCACTTGATCCAATCCATGAATCCACCAATCCATTTGATCCATGGATCAATCCATTTGCCACCTCTAGCTATAAGGATGCCTTCGATGTAATTGAGTGGGTTTGCTCGATTAATAGGCTAGTTTCAGCATGTTTTGATCGCAACAAAAAACCAAGATCAACTCACAACTCACAAGTCAAGAATTTTAGGGTTTTCTATATTATTCAACTCTGAATATTACAATACATGAATGAGGCCTTTTATAGGCTTAAACAACTACAAACAAACTAAAACTCAAAGTAAAAGTAACCTAATTCAGTATGGAAACAAATTGAAACAAGTAGTCTGAATTGGATTCGGAATCCTAGTGATATACGGATTCCGGTCTCGCTCAGGTGGAAACTTTGAGGAACTCGACAATGGTCTTCCCGGCCTCGTCGATCTCACCCAATTCCAGTTTTGGGTTTAGATCGAAAGTTTCCCTCTTTTCATTCCAACTTGAATTAGGTCCTGATTGTGCTTCAAACTCGAGATATAGTCCTCCAAAGATGGCACCTTGAAATCAGTCTTCTGGACTTCCCCTTGATCCACCAAACACTTGACGTTGAAGAAGACTTCCCCAGCTTCAAAACAAGCTATTAAACACGCATTTCCATGGAGCCAATCTCTTGATTCGAACCTCCCAAGGCAACAAGGGAAAGTTCTCAAAACAGAGAAGGTCGTTCAAAAACTGAATGACAAAGAAAGAGTGTCTTAAGTCATGCAATACTTGTCTACGTTGAGTCGAGGTTTGTCGGAGTTTGAGACAAGGTGGTATGATCTATTGAGTAGCTATTAGTGGAAAGGTATGTGTACGTGCAAGTTGTCATAGTAAACTTCTTTTATGCTTAACATTCATCTAAACGTTCTCAAATTGTCTACATATACTTTAGAAATCACATTGCATTTCGTATGGGTGATGTATAAGGTTCTTGCCCATATGTTTCTTAGACTGTTCATTATGTACTTAGATCTTAATCTGGAACATATTGCATAAGTAGTAGAATCTTTAGCTATCTTCTACAATATGTACCTATACTTGGTAAATTCCTAGTCACTGTTCTATTGTGACCTCTGTTGAATTTCCATCATATAATTATTTGATCTAATACCCGTCTTCTAGGAACCATCATTGCATTTTCTTCAATGGACAGACAAGGAGTGTAAAGTATCTTGTACACAAGCTTGTTAGATTTATGTTCTATTTTTTATTCAATTCCTTTCCCAATATCCTTTCTTGCACAGTTGCACAATCAGATTTTGAGCACTTCTACTATGCTATATAGCATTGGTGCTTTAATATACAACTTAAAGTTGTACCATAACATTAAATGTATAAGTTTAGGTTGTACAATAAAGCAATTTGTACCATTATGTTATGGTACAACTTTACAACTTGAAGTTTTACCATAAAAGAATTTGTACAAAAAGTATAGGTACAATCTGAAGTTGTACTATAACGTAAATGTACAATTTTAAGTTGTACCATAAAGGAAAAAACCTATAGCACCAATACTATATAGCATTGTAAAATTTCTCTCAGATGTTAGCTTGATTAAATTCATGGTTGATTGGTTAATGTGATTCACTTCTGTGTTAACTAATTGAACTCAAGACTGTATATTAGATTGGTGCTAATGTTTTCTTTAGAATTGAGGGACTGATGATATATGATATTTTTTTGGTTGGCTTTCTAACATGCTAAGATGAGTTTCAAAAGAAAGCAGTGCCTTATATGATGTGGGCGATTCAGAAGAAAGCCAAGTTTGATGTTATGAATCTTCACTATAAATTTTCACATCTTACAAGGGTATTTATGATTGTGATTTTCTGCTGGTTCTTATCGTGGAGTCTGTACTCTACTGGAACTTCTTCTGATTTGTCACTCTACTTTCGATCTGGTCATTTTTCCTGATTCTAACATTCAAATAAATAGTTATTGCAATAACAACCATTGGTGGTATGTTTACTCTCAGTTGATTTCTCACTCTGCTTTCAATATTTTTAGTGGTTTTTCTATTTCAGTTTCAGTTTAATTTTTTTTCAATGGTTCTTTTTTTCTTTCCTTGAATTCAGCTAGTAGCAGTGATGTGAATTCAATTTGTTTTGGTTGTCCT